GTAGAATAACTTCCATTGAGAGTAAATGTTTTTAGCAAAAGGCCTTTAACTCGATAGAGGAAGATCACATGCATAACCAGTGGGGCCCTCATTGATTACATTGTAAAAGATGGATCGGGTAATATATTTCTCAATTTACACCATCTCCCAACATAGCGTGTCTTGTCAACAAGTGCAAACAAAAGGACCAGGAGAATAGTCCCAAGGTTTTACAATATCTAGCTTAAAAGAAGAGCACCGACCTTAATATAATAATAGAATCAATAACTTTGTTTCAGTCAAATTGGCCCCAACTTACAAAGAACAGCTTACTATGAACGTCGAAGAACAGTTTACAAAGAAGCATTTTGAGCTTCCTTCCCAATTTGACCAATCCCCTTCATCTCTAGAGAAGACCTTGGCTATGAAATTTAGCAACAAGTTTGTAGATACTGTCCACCAAGCTAATGGGCCTAACGTCCTTGATGTTCATTGCTCCTTCAAACTTAAGTATCAAGCCTAAGAAGGTAGAATTTAGGGAAGCCACAAACTCTCCCAATGCATCAAATTCCTCCAAGAGATTCATAGCAGTTTTGCTGATGATACTTCAACACTTCTGCCACAGAAGTATGGAAAAACTATCAGAGCCTAGGACTTTATCCCCATTACAACTCACAGCCACATGGATCTCCATTTTTGTGAAGGTGCTTCAAAGCAAACTTCTTTTAGGGCCCAATCCTATCACACTCAAGACCATCCACTTCCAAACACAAGTTGCTGTGCTCCTATAATTAAAGAAATTGCTCTCATGAAAAGAGGTTTGTGTTTGTATCCCTTCTTTAAAACACTGTTATCCAAGCAACTCCATCCATGAGCATCCCATGAAGTAGGTCCCCTTAAAGGATTATTGATATGAACGAAAATCCAGTATAGCAATTGGCTTCCTTACCAACATGTTAGGTCCCATTGTCTTGGACCTTGTTATGAGGTTTTTATAATGAATCATTCTTGTTGGAATTTCTTCCAATTAAGTCTTTCAAAAGTAACTACTTTTCCCACATCTAGATTTCGCGTAGTGTACAGATTACATTTAAAACAAACTCAACGTCCGAAAAAAGATGCAAAAATATAAAAATGTAATATAAAAATAAATCCTATCTTCAAGTCTATTTTGATTTGTCATGTGTCCTTCCACACACTTCTCCCTTAAATCTATTTCCTTGGCACATAAGAGTCCAACTTGGTCAATTATCTCCTCTCCTCCCAACTTCATATTACCATCAAATGAGAAACTACCATAAAAATAAAAACAAGATCAAAAGCTTCTATTTCATAATCATATCTAAAATCTTCTAAAGCTAGCTAATATCTCCTAAATATCATAAATAAATAAATATCCTAAAATTGAAAATACTACACAATCACAATAATTATAAAAAGTTTTATTGTGACTAAAGATATCATATGTTAAGTTCTTATTCTCCATTCCAAACCACCAGTTGTAGGATTGGTTTGTACCTCCCACTATCATTATGAGAGCTTGGGTTCAAGCCATCCTTGTGCCGTGCCAATGGCATATAAGGAAAGTTGTGACAACAACTTTTTTTTTTTTGAAATAACAATAAATTAACATCACAACCCAGCAGAAATTGACATGAATAACTCACATCGCAAGTTGTCTGCTTTGGAGGCTTTCTTATCTCTTGCCGAATATAATCATCATCAAGCTCAAATAGCTGTAAGTGCGTTTGACATTTGTAGGGAAATACTCGAAATGCACATATGTCCTCCCATCTATGCTTCAATCTATGTAAAAGAAAAATCATAAAGAGAAGTGCAATACTCCTTAGTAAAAAAGAAAAGTGAAGAAGATGTGTAAAGCAAAGTCATTAAGATACATAACCTAGCAAGAGCGAAACATTCAGATACAATATAAGCCCTGTAAGATGCATACAATAAGTCATGCCTGCTGGTTAGGACCTAGATCTTGATGGGTCAAGCCACTCATAAACCAGTTTCATCTAGTAACTACCTTTAGATTATCTCATCAAACATAAAGTTCTATAGTTCAAAATGATGTAATCAGGATAACGTTTAGTATTCTAATATTTGATTAAGGAAGCATACAAATACAATGGTAGAAAAAACAACTGCAGCTCCTGGAAAGATCAATAATTTTACATCCAATGAGACTAGAAGGAAAAAATAAAAAATAAAGAAACTAGCTGAATTGCTTGAATTATATCCAAAGATCTCTCTCAATTTCATAGTTGGATAGTTGGAATATATCACCTAATTAACTTTTGGCTTCCAAAATGTCTGAAAAAGAGTATAATCTTGAAAGAACTCACCCATTAGATAAATTAGCATCGCAATAACTTCGCAACTCTTTTGGTACTCGAAATTCGGTTCTTTGATAGCTGTTAAAACAGAAGTATGGTTGTTAAATGCAAGAAAGTGAAGATCTAAAATAATTATGCTCCGGGTAAACATTCAAACTAAAATCATACGAGAATAAGAAAATATGAGGAGGTTGGAGAGAGGTATTTCTTTGATTTACTCGATCTTTTTCCACAATGACAAAATTTGTTGGGAGATACATGCAACTCTGAAATATTTAACTGTCAAGAAATCAGCTTTCATGTGTTTTAGATTTTCTCCATTTATGTCATAATTCCTTTTTTTTTTGTATAAATTTATGTCATAATACTTATCCGTAGTTTTTTTTTTCCCTCTAGGTATAGTTTCTCTGCTCTAAAAAGAATTATGGAAGTAGCTAACATTGTCGTAACAAAAGCAAACACAAACACTGCAAAAGAAATGTAACAAAGAGTTCTGTAAATTTCTTTTTATCCTTTTTCCATCTCAATAACTAAAGATAGAATAATTGAACAAATTCATAGACAGAAAATTGATCAGCTAAAACTCTCACATGCGAGAATCAGGATCTTTGCGAGGATCATATCCTTTTCTGATCCAGAACCTTCGAAATGGTCCAGTTGAAAAGTAGTATGCAACTCTGAGCATAAGCCTGTAACATCAGTCAAAAGCGAAGTCAACAAAGACAAAACCAAATTCTTCAAACAAAAACAGAAGAAAATGTCCTCAGCCAGCTCAACCAGATGGAAAAGTTACGGGGAAATTACCTGTTTAGCATATGATGGCTAAATGTTAGACCTCTATCAAGCAAGTGTTGAGTCAGTGCCTCTTTGGACCATATGGGTCGCTCATTGAAAAGCTCAGAGATAGCCACTTGCCACTTCCATTGCTCTGAGCCTTGGATTATAAATACCTCCCAATTTACTTTCTTAGGGATCTGTGTGAATGCTAAGGCCCAAAGAACAAATTAAAAAGAAAAGAAAAGCATTAAGTAAAATTTTTGTGCAAGCCTGCTGGCACCCTATTGATCTCAATCATAAA